ATCTTATTTTCTTTCCCAGTTTCACTGTCTTTACCCTTTCTCTCAACTGAGTTCCCACCATGGTCCTCTCTCAAGATCTCCCTGTCATTCACAGCTTTCAACCCTCCTTTCTTAAATGAGGACACTCCACAAAAAGAGCTTTGTAATTTGACTATCTTGAGTTGGTTGGGTCCTCATCTATCACAAGCACTCTTAAAATTAAAGCTAATTTCATTCCAAAGGACCAAGGATTAAGATGACAAGAGCTGGGGTTTTCAAAGTGTGGTCTGTAGACCACAAATGTGGACAGGGAAGGCCCCCAAAGTCACCTCCAACCTGAGGTAATGTTTGAAGAAACATTCTATTGCCTTTTTATTATAAAAGCCATACTTCCTCAACATAGAAAACTTTAAAAATATTGCACATTACAGAAAATCCAAAATTTATCAACAATTCTCAACCAGAGATATTCACTTTGACATTTCATTGCACTTACAGTATTTCCATGAATATCTGTTTATCTAGTGAGTGGAAGATTTTCCATGTTATTTCCTAATTAGTCACATATAATACTCAAGAAAGCTTTTGATATCCATCTTATATCTCAATCCTGTGAAGACCTCTTTTTACCATAATTTTTAGTTAATTCCTTTGAGCTTTCAAGGTAAGTATATTGTTTTTTTTCTGAAAAATCACAATTTTCTGTCCAATATTTGTAACATTTCTGTTTCATGTTTTATTGAATTGGTTGTAACTTCCAGAACAATGTTAAATAAAAATTATAATAGACGACGTATTTTACCTGATTTCAGTGGGAACATGTGTAGATTTTTTGCTTATATGGTTTGCAATAAATGCTCCATATCATCTGAATACATTTTCTATTCTTAGTTTCTGAAATATTTATAATAGGAATGATGGTTGTATTTATTACATGTTTTTTTAATTGAGACATAACTTACCTACAATAAAGTTGAGCTTTTGTAAAGCAGACAATTCAATGGTTTATAGTATATTCATAAAGTTGTGTAACCTTCACTACTTTCTAATTCCAGAGTGTTTTCATCATCCCAAGAGGAAACCCCATATCCACTAGTAGTCATTTCCCATTATCCCCTTCCCCTGAACCCCTGGCAACACTCATCTGCTTTCTGTCTCCATAAATATAACTATTTGGATATTTCACATACATAGAATAATACATTATGTGGCCTTTTGTGTCTGGCCTCTTTCACTTACCATAACGTTTTCAAGGTTCATCCATGTTGTAGCATGTGTCAATACTTCATTCCTTTTTCTGGCTGAATAGTATTCCATACTATTGATAGATCACATTTTATTTATCCATTCATCATTTGATGGGTATGTAGACTGTTTTGACTTTTTTGTGCTATGAAGAATGTTGCCATGAATATTCATGTACAAGTTTTTGTGTGGACGTATGTTTTCAATTATCAGAATTGCTGGGTCATGTTGTAACTCTACCTCTAACTTTCTGAGGAACCGCCAGAATATTTTCTAAAGTGGCGCACCATTTTACATTCCTATCAGAAATGTATGGAAGGTTCTAATTTCTCTTTATCCTCATCTTCATCAGCTCTTGTTATTGTCTGTCTTTTTTATTATATTTTTTATATTATATATGTATTTTTTATTATAGCCATCCTCCTGGGTGTGAGGTGATATCTCATAGCATTTCTCTAAGGACCAATGATGTTGAGCATCTTTTCATGTGCATATTGGTCATTTGTATATCTTCTTTGAAGAAATGTCTATTCAAATCTTTTGCCCATTTTTTAATTGGCTTATATTTATCTCTTTACTGTTGAGTTACAAGAGTTCTTTGTATAGTCTAGATACTAGACTCTCATTAGATATGTGATGAACAAGTATTTTCTCCTATTGGTGAATTGTTTTTCGCTTTCTTGATAATGTCCTCTGAACACAAAAGTTATAATCTTGATGAAGTCCAATTTATATATTTTCTCTGTTTGCTTGTGCTTTTCATGTCATATCTAAGAAACCATTGCCTAGTCCAAGGTCATGAAGATTTACACCCATGATTTCCTCTAAGAATTTTAGAATTTTAATTCTTACATTTAGCTCTTTTTCATTTTGAGTTAATTTTCATATATGACGTGAGGTAGGGATCCAATTTCACTCTTTTGCATACAGATATCCAGTTGTCACAGCATCATTTGCTAAAAAGATTATTCTTTCTTCCTTTGAATTACCTTGGCTTATTGTTGAAAGAACAATTGACCATAAATGTATGGGTTTATTTCTGAATATTGTGTGTCTTTGTACTATCTACTGAGATAATCATAAGATCTTTCCTTATGAAGTACTGCTAGATTTAAAATTTTTTAGCTGTCTTTACAGTCTTAAAATGACCCAAATTCAGTCATGGTAAATTGCTCTTCTCATACTCTATAAATTTTATTAGCTATTACTTTGTGTTTATGTGAGATTTATATATTGCTTACTTTTTTAGTGCTATCTTTGTCAAGCTTTGTTATTAGGTTTCTGTACGTTTCATGAAATGAGTTCCATCTTTTTCTAAGATTTGGGAAAATAAAAGGTCTACAGTGGTTCAAGATTTAAAACACTTGAGGTCCCTTGAACCTTCTGGAAGAGTTCTCCTTACTCACTCTGATACTTGTCTTATTTGGTGGAGGTCCCAGGTCTCTGCGAAGTGATGTGTTTAACCCACAAATGCATACTTAACTCAGCTGAGCGTAAGTTATGTTTTAAGAACAAGTCACTATCTTAAGAACAATTTCATCCTCTCCTTCCCTCATCCACATGGGCCAAAGTTATCCGCTACATTAAGTTTGCTTACCCAAGGTCCTTCTCATCTTTCATCTGTCCCAAACGCCCAGCATCTTTCCCCTGATCTCCAGCTGCTTGTACTTAATCTAAAGAAAACACAGCCTGCGGACTTGACATGGTCGCTTTTCTGAATACCTCGCATCTGTCCTTATGTTCAAATTTGGCCTCTCGGCGTGATGGTGAGGGCGCAGGCTCTGGAGCCAGGCTGCCTGGGTGTGAGGGCCAACTCCACTGCACACCAGCTGTAGGACCTCGGCTCACTCAGTCAGCAAGATCTTAGCTTCCTTGCTTACAAAACAGGGCTAACTGGGGGAGCCACCTCCCTGGACTGTGCAGACTTAATATTCATTAATATTAATATTCATTAATATTAATATTAATATTAAACACTTAATATTCATTAAGTGTTTAGAACAATGCTTGGCCCTTAGACTGTCAGAGTTTCACATTTAAACACGCTGCCTGAGAGGGAAGGAGGTGGGGACCCTGTTCTCCTCCTCCTTCAGGGCCCCATGCCCAGGCAGTGCCCACCTGCTGGCTGCTGCTCCTCTTTTCTAGAACCCCACACAGACATCTCCGACAGACACACACACAACATACTGACCACAGCTGTTCAGGATCCAGCCCTCTCTCGCCTGCTTGACCCCCTCCTCAGACCTCCCTGCTTTCTCTTGCATTCTTCGTCTCCCCCTCCCTAAGGGATCATTGCCATTAGCACATAAACTTGCTCTCTCCCCCATCTTTGTGGGTTTTTTTAGTTTCCTTTTGTCTAGCTACAACCATGGTTGCTCTGCTCTTTAACCAAACCCACCAGCAGAGTTGTCTCTGCTTGTCTTATGTGCATGATCTTGTGCCCACTACTGATCCATGCCCGTCGGCTCCTTCAGCCCGAGACTGCTCTCCCCAGAGCCATCAGCAACCTCCATGCCTCAAATGAAACGAAAAACGTTTCGTCCTCACTCCCTCCCGCTCTCTCCCACATTTGACACTGCTCACCCCTCCTCGAAACACTCTTAGTTTTGTTGACTTTGAAGAAAACTCCTAAGAAATGCGTTCCACCTAGTTTCTCCTTCCTTCACTGCCACACTCTTTCGTCTAACTCAACTCCAGGGCCCTGGTGAGGCTTGTCCACCCACTATTGTGGTTTTGAATAGGGCACCATCCATGTGCTGTTAGCTTCCTCATTTCCGTCTCCAGTCCAGACTTGTCCTCTGAGTTCTAAATCCTAAACCACTTCTTATGCAACATCTCTATCTGGGAGTCCACCATTGGCATTTAGAGTCAGACATGTCCTGACTGACTTCTGTCACCCCCACTCCCAGCCCTTAGGCCTGTACGTCCAAACACAGACCCATGCACACATATACATGTGTGCGCACGCACTCACACATGCATGTTCACACACACAAACAACACATGTGCACACACACACATGACTGATCTTCCTCCAAAGTTCCCCATATTGGTTCCTGTGCAACTACCCACCATTGGCTCCTGCTAGGATCCTGAGGGTCCACCTTGTTGAGCCCCTTTCCCCAACCCCACATTCACTCATCCCCAAACCCTCCAGGGTGTTCCCCAAGTTTGTCCTGAATTCACCCAGGAAATACTCTCTTGGCTTGTGATCAGCCTTATCCAGGCCACAGCATCCCTTGCCTGGACTTCTGCAACAGCTTCTTAAGTGATCTCCATTTCTTCTTTTGCTACTGTGCAAGTCCATATTCCACACACGACCAGAGTGAGCTTTTTAAAACCTGAATCTGATCACGTCTCTTCTCTTCTTAAAACCATCTGCAGTTAGAAGGAGGCATACGCTAAGGTAGTGTGATGGGGGAAAGCCCCTTCGAAAAAGTGACAAAGCCAAACCCTCAAAGATGAGCAAAGGGTCAGTCACAAGAGCGACAGAGAAGGGTTGTGTTCCACTTACAGGGGAGAGCAAGTGCAAGGGCTCTGAGGTATGAAAGCTTGGAGTCTTTAAGGAAAGAAGGAAGGCCAACAGGACAGGAGCATAGTGACTGAAGCAGTGAATACTAAGAAATGGTGATGGAGAAGCTAGCAAAGGCTGGGCCACAGAGGGCCCTGTAGGTTATGAAATGGGTACTCTCATAATTATTTCTAATTTTGCATACATACATATATATAGGCCCACTGGCCATAAGCTCTACAGAGCAGCATCCATGCCTGTTTTGTTCATGGTTTATTTCCCGTGCCCAGTACAGAGCCTGGCACATAGGCACTTAAATCCTCTGGATGATATGAAAGGACAAACGTCTCCAGCATTCCATCCAGGCCAAGTGGCTGGCAATTTCCCAAACATACTGTGTCATTCACCCTTCTAAGATCCTCATTTTTGTCTGATTCAGTGATTCTCAACTGAAGGGCGATTTTCTCCCAGGGGACATTTGCTAATGTCTGGAGACATTTTTGATGGTCACAATTGTGGCCGAGTGGATGCTCCGGGCATCTGGTGGATGAAGGCCAGAGATGCTGCTAGACACCCTACAGTGGACAGGACAACCCCCAAGACAAACAACCATTCAGCCTAAAATGTCAACAGTGCCCAAGTAAACCTGGCCGAGTTAATGCCACCTGTCTTCCGAGTTTCTGTGAGCATCGCCTCTTTTGGAAAGTTTTCCTTCCCCATCAACCGGCATGAGTTTGGGGCCCTCCTCTGGGCTCCCCAAACTTCCTTCGTGTGATTCGTCCCCTTGCTTTGCAATTGCCTGCTCTAACTGCCTCTCCCTGGCAGGTTAGGGTATGTTTCATCAGCGTACCTAACACACAGTGACCCATCCATGGATTTTCCTGCGTGAATGCAGCCCCCTGAGCTGGGAATGGATAGAAGGGTGAAGATGAATTTTGTAGCGACATTTTTAAAGGTTTAGTGGACGTGTGAACTCATAGGTCAGCAAGACTCACCCAGCACCCATCTCTGCCTCTGCCGGTCCCCAGGTGTCTGTGCTAGTATGCAACCTGCAGAGATGGGAATTTCCTGTGTGTCCAACTGTGGACCCGCGGCATGGTTCACGCAATGAGTCGTTGTCTTAAATTTTGAGTTTTTCAAGTTTAATCCCACTAAAATAAGACATAGAAGTAGGGCATAGGATGGGTTCCTGACAATGAAAAAAATAGGGCTGAAGCTTCGTTTGCAGTTGGCTCTCCTGCCAGTCATGACCTGCTCGATCCACCAGCAAAAATAGAAATCCCTGTGGCCACACGCTTGGGGCCTTCCGATCTCGCGGCCGCTGCCAGAAACGGTCGAAGATCTCCTCCTCGGATTCAGGTTTGAAATGGACTCTGGTTGAAGTGCTGTGCCCTTTGGAAGGGTTCCTTCCCCTTCACTTCTCACGGCCCTCCCAGCTCTACGTTCCTCTGCTTCCTTCCCCCGGCCCTCGTCCTCGCTCCCTGCCCTGGTGACTTTGGTCCTGCTGGCTGGGGAAGGAGCAACAGAGATGACAGAAGTGAGGGCAGGGCTGGGCTCATCACCTGCAGCTCACTGCTTCTGCTGCTGCGACGGAAGGGACTCGACCTCGACGTGGTACCTCGGATATTCACTGCTGTCCGAAGGGCTCTGTTCCTCCTCCTCCAGCTGTTGCTCCTGCGCTTGGTCCCGGGCCCGCCTTCTCTCCAGCATCTCCTCAAAAAAGATCTGGCAGCTGAAACCCTCTTGGATGCCGTACTGGGCATGCTGCAGCAGCGCCTCCAGCGTGGGGAACACCCGGCAGCAGGCCACACAGCGCAGCCCGTAGTTGGTGGTGACCAGCCAGTCGGGAGTGTCCCGCAGCTCCTGCACGCAGCACTCCAGGGGCACCAGCAGCTCTGCCTCCTCCGGCTCCGGGCAGCAGCCGTTCTTGCTGGCTTCCAGGTCCCAGTGCAGGTCGGTGTTGGAAGCCATCTCAAAGGAGGAGCCTTTCCTTCTCTGCCTCTTGGTGAACTCGGCTTCGTGGATGCGGGGCTTCCTGCTGACCGGCTCGAAGCCGGTGTCGGTCTCCCAGGCCACAGCCACGCCCTGCACGGTCTGCACATGGGTGTAGAAGGCACACACGCTCTGCTGGGCAGCATCCTCCTGGTACGCGCAGGAACAGCAGGACTGGTACTGAGAGTAGGACTGGTACTCGGAGGAGGACTGAGACGACGGGGAGCTGCTCCAGCTCAGCATCCTCCGTGCCCTGGAGACGAAGCAGATGTCCTCCTCATGGAGACAGGGTGACCTGGGCCTCGGAGATGCCTCCTCCCTCTTTACGGTCCCTGAGAGGAGGAGAGACATTTTCATCAGTGCCCCACAAGGGGACAGTGCCACAACTCACCTTCAGGGCTCTGAAAGGGGGCAGGCTCCTGGGGCCCTTGGGCAGGTGCCATCACCTCCCTGTATCTGTTTCCCCATAAAACGGGGATGACAATAACGGCTACCTCATGCGGCAGTGACAAAGATCAAATAATGTGTAGATAGGCAGATGCATCTATGAGTTATGGATATGAAAACAAGGATCAAATAGCTTATGAATGTACTATCTGAAAACTTGACTAAACCCAAAAGGCCATCAGCTAGTGAATAAACAGATTGTGGTACATCCATACAATGCCACCCTATCCATTGATAAAAAGGAATGAACTGCTGATCCACACAAAATATCAGTGAATCCTTAATGCATTCTACTCAATGAAAGCAACCAGAGACAAAAGGCCACATCGTATGTAATTCCATTTAGATGACGTTCTAGAAAAGGCAAAACTATAGGGCGGGAGGACAGATCAGGGGTTACTAGGAGCTGGGGCAGTGGGCAAGGTTCAAAGGGTCACAAGGGAACTTTTGGAGGATGAAAATGTTTTGCATCAGGATGACGGTGGTGAACACAAAGCACATGTGTCAAAATTCTTCAAATTGTACACTTAAAATTGGTGACATTTGTGTATGTAAATCACAGCTCAAGAGAGACAATTTAAAAAGCAACGCAAGGAGAGTGCTGTGGCCAGGCCCTCCAGCCCCACCTTCCCCTTCAGCGTTTGTCTTGTGCCTCTGTCTTACCCCACTCATTGTATCCGCATCACCCTACAAGCACTCCACGTGCTTTAACTCCTTGAATATTCAAACAAATAAAACCCTAAGAAATTGCATTGCTATGATTCCCATTTGACAGATTAGGAAACAGAGGCACAGAGCATTTAAATGACTGATGGATCCAGAGATGATGCCAGGCACTCGGCCCCAAGAGCCAGCGTCACCATAGGTGCTGCCCACAGTGACTTCATAGTGGTCTTCAAATTGGCGTTCTAGATGAACTTTAATCAATTTACTATAAAGGAATTTTTTATGTCATTCTGAAATCACAGGGTTGACATATCAATGCTGTTTTTTCCAATGCATATTAAAATATATTATGATATACATTTTACACTTTCATCCTCATGCCTCCCGAGAGCACCTCATGTACTCACAAGGGCCTTCGTCACACCCACCATCCATTTTTGTGGCCAGCACAACACTTTGGTAAAAGCACCAAGGGGTGACCCGATGCTCCCCCACCTCCCGTGCCTTCCTCCCAGGAAACACACCTGGCCGCACTCTTTCTCCTGACCTACCTGGCCAGCACACTTCCGTGCTCTCCTCCGTGGACCCTGGGCTGGTCAAGCTGAGGGTGGTCCCATCCGTCGCTGACTGTTCTCCCCTGTAGTCTGTGAAGTGGCGTTTCATGTTTCGACACCAGCGCCCAGGGGCCTCGGTGCTCCAGCTCTTTGGTGAGAGTTGGCTCGGGCTGTGCTGAAGCCCTCCACTGGCCTGGCCCGAGCGGCCGCTGGCTGCCCGGGGGTCACTAGGAGCTTGGTATTCTGTGACCTCATCAGTGACAATGGTCTGTTCTATGACCCATGGCAAGGACAGAGACTCAGCCAGGACTCCAGGAGAGGCTTTCCACTGGGATCTCATCTCCTCTCAGGACCTTTTCTGCCTTGTGTACTGTCAGGGACACACACAAACACAAAACACGGACACACAAAGACACAAACACCTAAACACACCCACATAGACACTTACAAACGTATAAACACAGCTATACTCACACAGACATACACATACCTAATCACTCAGACACCCGTACACTCAAACATACATATGCACACACACTTACACAATATACACTCACACATACAACACACAAATTCACACCATATTCACTTAACCACACATACCACATTCACGCTTTCACGGCTAGACAGCAAATGAGCCCACTTCGTACCGGGGAAATAGCGGGTGACCGAAAATCTTGCCTCCTTCCCACTGGTCCACAGTTCCCCTCTCCTGCCTCACTTAGGCCTCCAGCCCTCCACGGCCTGGAGCCCCAGGCCCTCTCTCACCTCTTGTCCCGCTAGCTGCCCCTTCCTCAGCTCAGACTCACATACCCCAGGATGCTCCACCCCAGGGATTTTGCACCTGCCCTTCCTTCTGCTGGGCGCGCCTTTCTTCATCCCATGTGCTCACTCATCACTCTCGCTTCAGTCTTTGCTGAAATAGCACCTTGTCAGGGCAGCTGCCCCGACTCCCTAACAGAAACAGCACGCTCCAGCCCTCCATCTCTCCGTCGCCTTGCCCTGCTTTATTTTCAGTGTAGAGTTTATCACGCTCAGACCCTATAAGGTGTGTGTACATAATGGGCTTCTCCATGTTCACCTCCTCCTTCAGTGTAAGCTCCGTGAGGAGAGTTTGTTCATTTTCCCTAGTACCTAGGATGATGTTTGACTCTTTAACAAGCACTCGAGAAATAATTGACAAATTAAGGAATAAATAAACGATGAACACCTGGAGCTGCTGACAAGGGCGTGCCTTCCTTGCCTTCCTAGTGGAGCCGCCTTCTCTCTGCAGCTCTGCCTCTGTGGCCCCGACACGGGCTGGTTCTCACCCCACGACTCTGAATCCCCACCCACTTCTCCCCCAGCACAAACCTCCCTCTAGACGCGATTCCTCTGGCATGGCTTCCTACCTGCGTCTGTCTCTGCTCCGGGGTGTCCTGGCTTTTGAACACACTTCCTCCAACACACTTCTCACCTTTTCCCTCCAACACTTGCTCAGCCTCACCAACTCCTCCAGATCCTAAATTCTAGACAGTTCCAAAAGGTGATGGATTGAAAATAATCCCAATATTCCAGCAGTAACCTCACCACCACCCACCCAGCCAGCACCCGAGAACATAGTCCTCTCCAGAAGGAGAGGCCCCTACGTGAAAGAAAACACCACAGAGCTGTACAGGGTGATGAAAAGTCACACTTGCATCAATGAAGAGGCAGCGTTCCCTGGGGGAAAGAGGAAATACTGTAAATGTGTCCTTTCTTACCAAATAAATCCAGAGACTTGCCTTATAAAAACAAGGGGGTACCAGCAAAAAGTAAGTAGAAAAATGGAAGATAAAAGCTAGCCCAGAAAAAGATCACATTATATATTCATATTTTTAAGGGATAAAGTAAATAACAAAAGGCTGAGAGGAAAAGACTCAGTTATTAAATGATGCTGGAAAATTTTATTCACTTTAAAAAAATCAACTTTGGTCTCCCCTCATATAAAACAACTAGGAATATTTTCCTGTGGTCCAGGGTTGTGTTTTAACAAAAAATCTTTAGAAAGAAAATAGAAGTTAATATTTGTAAATATAGAGTGGCTTTTCTAAACTTAAATAATATCAATCTTGGCAAGCATTGAGAAGCTTTGTCATCTTTTCTTTCACTCCATTGCTTAGAAAAATCTCACTGTTTCGATTTGCATGTCTCTACTCTTTAGTGAAACTGAAATGAACTGTTCAGTAAAGGAAATGAACAAGCGATTCCCGGGAGAATAAATGCAGATGGCTGATAAACATATAAGATGTTCAACTTAATGGAATAAGGAAACTACAAATTAAAAATACATGATATACAGTATATCATTCTCACTCATAAGGTAAGTGAGAGTTAGAAAGATTGACAGAACTAAGTGCTGATGAGGACACAAGGAAATGAGCCCTATTACCCTCTACGGGCAACAATGTGACTCGCATTCCTCAAAGGAAATTTGATGGAAACCACTAAAGTTCCAAGTGGGTGTATGGTCTTCCACTCAGCAGTTTACTTATCATTTCTTCCCTGGGAAACATTCATACTTTAGGCTGTGTGCACAAAATAGCACAGAGAGAAATATTTATTGCAGTATTGTTTACAATAGAAAAAAGAAGAGGAAACATTTCAAAGGTCCACGAAAACAAAGAAATGGTTAAATAAATCACAGCATAAGCAAACTGTGGAATACTGTACTGCAACACAGAGAAAGAGTTCTACATAACTAATAAATGAACTCGTGTTAAGCAAAAAAAGATGCAAGGGAATCCCACTGATATAAAAATTAAACATGCTGACCGCCCCCAACAAAAGCCCCACAAGTTCTGTGTGTCTATGTCCGTAAAGGCACAGAAGAGGTCTGAAGACAACAATCCCCGACTGGGAGTCCTGGTGATCTCGGGGAAGAGGAGGAGGACTGGGTGGGGCTCTGGGAGATGGTATTTTCCAAAGATGGCCACACCAGTATGTCCCTCACCCCACACACTCTTCTTACAACGTGAAGCTGACACTCCTCCGTCAAGAGACGTGGTTTCTCTCGGCAGATTTGGGAAGTGCCTCCTCCCACAGAATGCAGAGGAGTGATGCTCCGAGGCTTCTGATGCTAGACCATAAAAGACAATATGATTTCCTCCTGCCTCCCTCTCTCCACTCTCCTGTGAACTTGGCAGCCATGATGTGAGGAAGCCCAAGCCACATGGAGAGGCCACACGGAGGTGTTCCAGCTGACAGCCCCAGCAAGGGTCCCAGCCAACTGTCAAATGTGCAAGTGAACAAGCCTTCAGATGATCTGCCTTCTGGCCTCTGAGTCTTGGAGCTGGGGCCACAGAGGTCTTCGAGCAGAGACTAGCCATCCCCTCTGAATTCAACCATCTGCCCTGCCTGAATTCCTGACCCCCAGAAACTACATAAGTAAAACATCCATCTTTTACTAGGTTTGGGGGCACTTTGTTACACAGCCATAGTAGTTCAACAGACTTGCTTTTCCCTTTACTGTTTAAAGATGTTCCATGAGACAGCTCACTGACCAGTGTCAGCACCATAGTGCTCCTTCCTGGTCCAGTTGAGCACTGTGGTTCCCCCAGGACAAGTTGGGAGGATGGCTCCCACCACCCACCATCCAGGTACTTATTTGTTCAGTCCCAGTATTCCTGTAGAGCTGTTTCAGAATTGTTAACCTGCACCCCCAGGGGAAACTAGTTTACCAACTATGTTACAAGGTTTATCTACACTTGTTTTGGCCCTTAGCCTTACAGTTTCTAGTCAAAACACCATTTTCCAAAAGTTACTTGGGTCAGCGCCTTTATTCTCCCAGAATCTACATATGTTCTTTCTAATCGTCTCGACAAGCCCGCCAGGTAGGCACAGTTAACCCTACTTTATGCAGGGAGGTGAGGCTCCCAGGGGTTGGGTGAGGCATGGGTGGGAGGGATGAGGGCCTGGAGTCAGGGGTGCTGTGCCAGGCTGCCCCAGGGCTGCCCTCATGGGCTGCTTCCCAGGGAGCGGCTTAGAGGAAAGCTCCAGCCAAGATGTGCAATTCTCCTTCACGCTCACGTGGCCTCTGGACTGCTTCTGTCCACGGGAAGGCCCTCTGACCCAGCCCCTCCTCTGGCTCTGTTCAGATACTTAGCTAAGGCCACCCAGACACGGTTGCTGCCCTCCCAGAGGAAGGGAGGGGAGGATGGATAGGGCCCAGGCCCGCCCAGGCCCCTGCGCCCCAGCCCCCGCAGTTTTCCAGCTGGTTCTCCAGCCTTGCCAAGAACTTCTGTGCTCCATCGCTGCAGCCAGCAGGGTCGGTGTGCAAAACCCCCAAAGGACCAGAGCAGCACTTTCCTGGATTTCTGACTGCTGGCCAACTCGTTTCACACGTTGCATGTGAGCCCTAAACCTCATCAAGAAGGCCTGGAGTCTTTTCCAGTCTTAATTTTTCCTCCAAACTCTGCTCTTCCCAGCCCCTGTTTTTCTCAGCCGGGAAGGGTTGACAGGAAGCAAACCAGCCAAAGGCCAGGCAGGAAGCAGAGACGCCACCTCTCGCTTCCCTTCCCTTCAAACGCCACAGCCTGGCTTGTGCCACCATCTAGGCAATCAGATCATTCATCCAGATCTGATGAGCATCCAGAAATAGCCCGTCCACTGGGCCCGGGAGCCTGACGCCACCTGGGGTGGTGCATTGGTCACGGCTTTTCTGTGGCTCGGCCACTGTGTGAAGAGTTTCAAGTGGGCAATACTCCTTTCTTCACAATAGAAAATAGGGCCCCTCCAGGGGCTGCCAATCACCCTGCCACTGCCCTCCAAAGAACCCCTATCATTAGACTTGGCATCCGAGGGAGGGGAAGAAGTGGGGACCTGCTCAGATGCTGCTGGCCTGGTGTCCAGTGGGCTCCAGGGTACAGAGTCTCCCCCAGTGCAGGTCAGCCCCCAGGAATCATCGATGGCCTCAGCCCTATGCTAACTCTGAAGGGAAAGTGCCAGAAGATGTCAGACAAGTTGAGGATCAGAGTAGGGAAGTATTGTCTTTTGGGCTCGTTTTCTGTTGCTTCATGTGACTATTTAAAAAGACGTGAGTCAGTGGACCACGGAAGGAAAAACTCAGCCACAGAGAAATGTAAGACGAAGAGAGCTTCCTCAGGCTCCCCAGACGAATGGAGAAGGGAGCTGTGCTTTTGTTTTCCTTCAGGCTAATAACAGGCTGCTGCTTCTCCGTGGTTTGCTTGGAGCTGTCTCGGGGTTTTGACCTCAACCTCAGGACGCCCACA